TTTGTGTTTTATTGTACATAAAAATGTTCTTATGTTCTAGATAACTGTATAGAAAGTACAGAATTAGACACTTTATTAGAACCAGAGTGGAAAGACATATTAAATTCTTTAATTCCAGTCGCTGGTCATAGACTAAAATTCGTAAAATTTGTTAAACAATTCCTTATTGAGAAAAGTGAATCGAAGGAGGTAAGGCTATAATTATTTCGTATAATGTTAAAAAGTGGGAAACAAACATATCTGTATAATGCAGAAACATAAGAAAATGACGACAATCTTTATTTTTATTTTCATGATAGAAATAACCTCACAAGAGCTCTCATTGGTTCATTTTTATATGTATTATGCATTATGCGCTACGCAGGAATCTGCCTTCACAGCACATGAACATCTTAATAAGGTTACAATAATCTTAAATTGTAAGATTGTAACATTGCACGGAGATTAAGAAATATACCATTAACCTCCCAATAACATGTGCATGTTCGTCCAATGTCATTCCCTTAACATCCCAAAAACCTTGCAGGGCATGTTGCATTAATATTGATACAACATACTAACAACTTTTTAATATTAGAAATTATAAGATTTTTAGCACGTTATATGAATATTAATATAATATATCCTGTAAGGTCTCTGAGATGTTAAGAGAATGAGATTAGACGAACATGCACATATTACAGAGAGGTTAATGGCAGGTTTATTAATGTCCGTAATGTTACAATTTAAGATTATTGTAACCTTATTGGGATAAAATGATGTGCTGTGAGGAATTTATTTAAAAATATAAGATTGTATAATATATGTTTCATATTATTTATTATGTAATAGTATAGTATATACGTAGTAGTAGTAGTATATTTATTATGTAATATATATAAATATATGTAATGATAATATTATTTTTATACATATATTTTATATTATTTTAATATATTATTTGTAATATGTATAATATAAAAAATTATTATATATTTATTTTATATAATAATAATAGTAGCGTAACAATTTTGGCTGAGATGCGCTCGCAAACATTTTTTGAGTCCTCTTTACAGAACATAAAAAAAATTGTATCATATTTTTAAATGAAAATAAAATTAAAAGTAAAATTTAAAAATTAAATAAAAATTAGAACAAAAATCAAATAATACTTATTGGTCGCGTACAGGCTTAACTATTGCTTAACAGCAATCGAATCTGATTTCTACTTTAAGATCTAGTACATTAACATCGAGCGACTAGAAAATTGCTCATCTGTTAAGTCTGTTGAGTACGATCATTATTACTGCACCCTTGTGAAAATTAACAAAAACGGACCCGGTAGTTATGCTACTGGATAATAAACTATAATATAAATGACTTTCAAAATAAAAAAATAAACTAAATATGAGTTTTACATGACTTGTATAATATCTATTATATTGCTTCTTTCCATCACATCAGTTCGCATCCTCTGCTTCATCGATTGCTTCGCGCTGCTGTTGCTTTCTCATTTTTGCTCTGTAAAAATTTTTAAAATTAATGTGGGTAAGTATTTTTCAAACAAATTTATCTTTGATATATTTTCTAGAGTAATTATATTTATAAAAAGCGTTATGTGTGTGCATGTGTATGTGTGTTGTATTTTTCTTTCTTTTATTAATGTTTTATATTTTATATTTTATATTTAATAATAATTTTTTATATTTATATTTTTATTCGCGTTTATGTTTATATTTTTATTATTTTTATTAATTATAATAACTTTTAGATTCATATATATATGATTAACTATAATAATATTAATATATTCTAACAAATAAAATTCTTATTATTATTGATGAATATACGTATATATACATACTCTGCTCTTAGCTCTCGCCACTTAGCATGTACTAACCAACTTGATATTGATTCAGCAATCTGTGTATCACTCGATTCCGGTTTATGAATTCGTATCACTCCTGTAAGTAGGAAAAAAGTAGTATTACTATAATGAATACTATACAGTGTGAGTTTTTAAACTTGAGACTGCAAAATATGTGGAAAAATAAGCATTGTACGAAAAAATTTCCAAATGAACTCTCAATATTTTCGAGGGAGCAATTCCATCTCGCCAAAATTAGCCTCCTACCACCGCCCCCCCGGGGGTGGGACTGGGAGTAACTTTGAAATCTTAAATGAGAACCCCTACTTTTTATTGAATCTGCAATTTTTTATTGAATCTGTAATACTTATTTAATCTGCAATATTTATTGAATCTGCAATATTTTAAGGTTCCTGAGCTCACCACGACTATGTTGGAAATCGTGACGTCAGAAGCAAGAAATGACACGCCAAGAATTCTTGCGCTTTAAAAGTAAATAACAAGATATCTGAATAAAACAACAATCCAGATCGTTACAGCACATCTTCAAGATACTCCGATAATTAATATTTTCCCTTGATAGTTGACAAACAGTCGTAAAATGTGAATGTAATATTCCTAGTCATGAGTACACTTGCGCATGTGCGACATTACATTCACATTTTACTGTTGTCTATCAACTGTCAAAGGAAAAAGTTAGTCACCGGAGTATTTTGAAGATGTGCTGAAATGATCGAGACTGTTTTTTTATTCAGCTAGCTTGTTATTTACTTATAAAGCGCAAGAATTCTCGTTTCGACGTATCATTTCTCGTTTTTAACGTCACAATCTAATATAGCTGCAGCGAGTACCCAGGAGTCTTAAGAAATATTTTTATGGAAAAATTTTCTTATGTTAATGTATGAAAATAAATATAACTTCATTATTAAAAGCATCAGATCATGTACTAGAAACACTCTAAATATTCTGTAAACTCAAATGTTATAAAAACTATCGGTGAATAAAGATAGTCTTGTCTATATTTTAAATTTAACAGGATCGATTGTTTGAGTTTCATGTAATACTCACTCTTCACAATTGAGCATAATTTTAAAGCACTGAAATTTTTCTTTTCGTTTCGTTGTCCTAAGTAACTGAAAGTCTGTGCAAAATGGTCGCTCAATAACTTTTTTAATATATTTGGGATTATATTGGATAAATTCAATCCACCCACTTGTTTCAGCGTGTTCACCTAGAGACGAGAAAGAGAAAAATAGAAATTCTTTATTAATTAAAAATATCAAATATTGTCAACTAAAATTACACATATATTGTCAATTAAAATGATATACAGGGTGGGCCATTTTAATTTATACAGTCGATTTTTTAAAAAACTAAAAGAGATATGAAAAAATGTTTCAGACAAAAGTTGTATGGTTTCGAGGGGGACATAAGATGGTA